CTTCACAGAAACCCCCCCCCCCCCAACAAAAAAACACACACACAGAGTCACGCCACACAAACAGTAGAGTCCCATTCTACCCCTCTCTCTCTCTGTACTGTCTCAAGCATACACCCATCTCACAGCACGCCTCTCCCTCTCTCTCCAAACACACCCCATCTCACAAACCCCCTCCCCACACACAAACACTCTTCACATAACACCCCCCCCCAACACACACACACACAAAGAGAGAGAGTCACGCCACACACAAATAACCCAAAATTTTTTGTTTAATTAGTTTGGGTTTTAGGGGCTTGGAACTTGTTGAGAATGCTGCAACAGACAACAAGAAGAAAATGATGATTCAGGGATAAATTTAGATCGCTATGATGAACAATGAGGAGTTTAGAGGCTATTGGGGTGAGTGACCATTTTGAATGGTGGGTTTTTGCCGGATTTTCACTACTATGAGTTCTATAAATTGGGTAAAATATGTTGCTTCCGATTTTTGAATTATACCATTCTAGGAATAAAAATAAACCTTGGTTTAAGATTTAAAATTTTCCAGGTTTGTGTAGTGTGTTGCTTTGTTGAATATCAATCATGGGTGTTATGTTCTGCATACTCACCATATCCGAGAAGAAAATCAATACACATTGTATAGTACTGACGATAGTTACTGGTTTTGCTTGAAAATTGGAAGTGTTCTTTTGAAATGCTTAGTACTCAGGTTTGTAGTTTCTATTTTTTTAACAATAGGTTGGGTCAGAAGTTTGAGTATATTTCTGCAAATTGCAATCATGTGAAGACAATGGAAGATTTTTACAAAGAAGTGCCTAATTCAAAGGTTCCCATTATCAAATTTCAGTAAGTTGTCATGATATTTGGGTTAGATAATCACTTGCAATTGAATTCTAAATTTAATAGGACTAATGGTTGCAATTACAGTCAAATTGATTGATTGGTTGATTTGAAAGAACCCATTTCAAAGGTCTTTATCTTCCAGAGTGGTGTGGAGAAATTATGATAAAAAATTATCATGGTGAACTCCAAAATTTTATGCATGGGTGTGTCTTTGCAAGCATTTCTTTTAACTACGATTTACTGTGGTTTCTAATTCATGACAAGGTAGCATGTATTAAAAAATAGCAAGTAGTCTAAATATGACATAATTCATGAATTTGCTACAAGAAATGAATTTTGGTTTGCTTGCTTTGCTTTAAAGTGTTAGTGAAAATAGTGGTTTGCTTATACCATTATGTGACAGTGGTATATAGCCAATACAAGTTATGCAACAATGCATTAGGAAATGATATCTAATTTTTCTCTAAGGTTGTTAGGAAAGGAAGAGAAGAAAATTATGATTTTTTGGCACTCTATTGCAAGGGAAAAATCAATTCAAGGGTGTAGACTGTTATATATTAACCTGATTGATGCTATTTTTTTTTATTTTTTTTAGTTTGCATTTTTAATGAGAGTTTTGCCGATTTGACATATGGGCCTATGGCCATACTTTTTTGTTACACAATGCCTTTTAATTTTATTTATTTTTTACCTGTGATTTTTTTTATTGAAATAATAAATCAATGAGATTGGTCTACTAGATTCTATGTGTCATTTTCTAGGTTTGGCTTGATTTTACTTCAATTGCAAGGGCAAATTCAGTTCAAGGGTATGGATTGCGACATATTTATTTGGTTAATACTACTAGTTAAATTTTTAAATGTGTGTTTTTCAATGAGAGTTTTGCCTATTTGATTTATAGATTTTTTGGGTGATATTTTTAGCATTTAATTCATCCTTTTAGAAAACGAAGGCTTGGTAATGTAACTTCGTAAACTGGTTGATGTTATTCATCTTGTTTTTGGAGAAAAGTTAATTGATGATATTTTGTGTTATAAATTTCTTTAGGTATGGACAATTATTTGTGATTTTTTTGATAGTTAGTGCCTTCACGCACGGGCAATTGGTAGTATATATATATATGCGCATCAAAGAATCATACAAATAAAGAAAATTGAATGAAAAATGGCCCATATTACCTGGATAAGCTCATCAGAATTCAAAGCACAGGGTGGCAGATGTTCCCTACTAAGAATCCGAATCTGAGCACGAGTTTCAGTACGTATATTCTGGACTACTTGTCCACCTTTCCCAATCACACATCCAATCTGATCTGAAGGTACCAGCATCCGTACAGTAACTTGCTGAGGCTCCTCAAATTCATCATCAGCAGGGGAATCTTCAGCAACAATCCTGTCATGCACCCTGAAGAGAGCATCCTGTGCAGGTGAAACAAGATTGCTGCTATCCCCAAAGCTGTTTGTCTCCTCACTTGAACTATAAATAGTAACAACACGCTCGTCACAGCTAGGCACAGTCTCACTAATCCTAATCTTTGCTTGAGTTTCTGCTCGTAATTGCTTTGCAATGTCCCCACCCCTCCCAATAATACTTCCAATCTTTCTCACAGGGCACAAGTAACGAAAAACGGTATCTTCTGATCCGATAGCATTTGATTCCCTTTCATCACTGGGATTTCTTCTCTTACTTCCTCCATTCCCAGCATAGTCAGATTGCGAGTGCGTCCTCTTTCCATAATCATTCCTCTTGCCCGCCATTTGTAGAGGGACTATGTATCCCTATCAGGCACAAAAAGAATTTGCAAATGAGTATATATAACTATAGCTTCTGAAAATCCCTAAACTCCCATGGGGCACAGGAAGATAACTAACGGTTTAGTTAATTAGTATAACTATCCAAGTGTTAGATCTGGCTTAAAACTTGACATGATTCATAGACACTTGAAACCTCCACTTCATGGGAAGCAAATATGAACATTTTCAACAAAAAAAATCAGGAAATATTGCCTAATTGACGTTCATCATCCCAAATCAGATGCAAACTAACCCAATCAATATAGTTCAGAATTCCCTGTAGCAGTAAAATATTCATCTTGAATTATTGAAGTCACACACACAGAGAATATGTGACGCAAACACGACCAATGATGCAATGATAAAAGGCATTTGTCCATAATACAATATAGGAGACTCAGAGAGTATAGGAAAGTATACACACTCTCGTGCAGGGAAGGGAAAGTATAGGAGACTCAAAGTGTCAAAACCACAACCAGCTGCAATTCTGGATGGTCCCAGTGCTCCTGTTTGACCCCACGGCTACCAAAACTATATTCGCACTTGAATGGTTACAAAGTTGATAATATTCTAAAACAAGAAATTCTCCATCACTAGCAACCATGAAACAGTTCATCACATACCCAGTAAGAAATTCCAAATTTAACAAACACCCATCTCATAATAAACTTGTATACTCTCAGAAAGTCATAAAACAACAAACCTCATCCCAATCTTGCGTCAAGTCCCTAAAAGTGAAATGAAAAATATAGAATGTCGTTTGTATCTCTTAGCGACTTATTCCAAACACATATATATGAGCATACACGAACGAACCCGAATATAAGGTTAATTCCATTCCCGAAAACACAACTCTAAACAGTGTAACAGAATTCGATTTGCAAAGTTGATATATATAAACCAAGTATGTCACCATAATTTGAGCAACAGACACACTTTAGGTTGAGGTAAAAAGAGAGGGACAACAAACCCGTTAAGCAATTAGGGTTGAGAGAGGGGGAGAAAGCCCGTTCTTCGCTGGTTTCTTCGAACGGAGTTACGCTGATGGATATAATTTGTACACAACAGCCATCCTAAAGTAGGGAGGGAAGGGCCTATGGGGCTACGAACTACGATTTCGTGAAATATCTTAGGATGGTTGGCTGCATTAGGGTTTTGACCACGCCAAGGTCAATTACTAAAGTAGCCCTCTATCCTCCAAAATTTTTTTCCCCTCAACCCATATGATTTTTTTTTTTTTCTAAGTTGGGGAATTTTTACTATCCCTCAAAATATAATGTCTACCACCAAGCGATTGGCACAAAACTCGTATCTCCACGTTCAATTCGAGTATTCACAATTACGATAATCTGGTGGAGTTAAATTTAACTTCAATTTTGACGTAGGTGCAATAGGATATCTTGTGAATAATTGTGTAATGCTAGTGAGCAGTGCTCTTTAATGAATATATAGAATAACTTATCTTTATATATATTTTATACACAAAAAAATAATATTAAATCTATTTTATTAAAATTTTCAGTATAGTGTGTAAAATAGACTGCATATATAGGAAGTAGCCTTCATTGTTAAATCTAAATCACCTATTTTGTACAAGACATAAAGGGCATGTGTTGCTATGTGGGTTTTGAGGGGTTTAAAGGGTGGATTTTATGAAAATAATTCAAACCGCTTTCTAAACTCGTATATTGGTTCAAGATTTGAAGTGCATAATTTATAATATAAATAAGCGCAAAATCCAATTTATTCCCTTGTGGTTTGATCATTTTACACATCACCTCCTTATGGTTCAAAAATTAGCACATAGCCCCCTTATATTTTTGGACTAATGTGCGATCGTTACTATTTCTGTCAAAAGTGACAGAAATTATAACACACGTGCTAGATTTGCAAGTATGAAAGTAAAAAATTTAAGTCAGAGTCAAAGTTCAATCTAAAAGTCCAAATATATCCTTGTGATCTTTCAAAAAGATATTTTTTTTTATCTTCTTCTACATTTTATTATTAAAAAAAATAATAAGATAAAAGAAAAAAACCAGTTTCTCTGCATCGCCACTCAACAACGCCCTCACCTATTTTGTGCAATGATTTGCTGTGACAAAAAAATTTAACAAAGAAAAAATATAGAAGAAGAAGAAGACCAAATCACAACGAAAAGGACAATGAAGAAAGACCAGCATAGCGAACTAAGTCAATAGCGACGAAGAAGGTGAAACGAGTTAGTCTCGCCTCTCGCCTTTTCCTCTCTCTCTCTCTCTCTCTCGTAATTGTTCTTGTGATTTTCGATGATTTTCGGACGGGTTTTTCAGTGGGTTTGGGGTTGGGTTTCAGGGGGTTGGGGTGGGTTTCAGAGGTTGTTGGGGGTGGGTCTTTGGGGCTGTTGGGAATGGGTTTTCAGGGGTTTGGGGTGGGGGTTCCAAGGGGTGTTGGGGTTGGTTTTCTATGGGTTTTGGGGGTGAGGGGTTTTCGATGGTGTTGGATTGTTGTTTGTGGGGGTGGATTTTCGGTATGGGTGGTTGGTGGTGGGTGGTGGATTGCAAGGGGTTTGGGGGGTTGGTTTGTGGTAGGGTCAGGTGATTGTTGGTGGTGTGTTGGGGTTGGTTTTCTGTGGGGTTTGGGGGTGGGGATTTCGGTGGTGTTGGGTTGTTGTTGGTGGGGGTTTTCAGTATGGGTGGTTGGTGGTGGTGGGTGGTGGATTGCAAGGGGTTTGGGGGTGGGTTTGTGGTGGGGTTGAGTGGTTGTTGATGGTGGAATTAAGTGGTGTTGAATGGTTGATTTTGGGTAAAAAATCAAACATTTTTTTTTTGTTTTTATAATTTTTTAAATACAAATAACTATCAAACAGTGAGGGTAGAGAAGATGCAGTGGGTTGGAGAAGATGTGGTGGCAAAGTTTATTCAGATTTTAAGGAGGGCAAGGTGGTCTTTTCGCCACTACCGTTAACGGTGTTAGCTGTGCATTTTGGTCCAAAAACACAAAGGGGTTATGTGCTCATTTTTGAATCACAAGGAGGTGATGTGCAAAACCACCAAACCAAAAGAGGGTAAACTGGATTTTGCCCTATAAATAAATTACGATTCACTCTAGGCTCGCAATGAATAATAAATTAAAATTTAAAACCTAGAAATTAGGGAAGGGGGAGTTAATGAAAACTATTTTAATGTTTCCTTGGTGGGAGATTGGTATTGGTATAGTTAAGAAATATTTCACTTAATGGTAGGTAAAAATATTGGTTGGCTTATTCCATATTCATAATAGTTTTTTTTTTTTATCGCAACTAGGAGAAGGGAATTGGGGAGAAAAATTGATATATGCATCTTCTGTGGCCAAGTGAAAAGGCTTTGCCATTTCAGATAGACCTTCAGGAGTTTATAGTTTTTGGGGTTTTTTTTTCAACAGTCAGGAGTGTTCAAGTTAATTTATACACATTTTGATTAATTCTTTATCCGGTTTAATCAAAGATAAACCATTCACACCGGGACATGAATATTCATAGGAATAAATTCATTATAACCTGACCCCAAAGATTACTAAGCTTCAAACTCAGGACATCTTAGTTGTTCCGACAATCCAAAAACTTGGGCTACTTGCCATGATAAAGCGATTAATTGAAAAAGTTTGTGTAATTATGGGTGAAAGTGTAATTTTGAACAAAAAAAATTAGGGGCGATTTGAGAATATGTAGGTCAATCAACGGATCTGATATAGACCGAATTGACTTATATCTATATTCAAATGTGATTAAGTTTTTGCAAATCCGATCTGATTATCAGACGAATTTGAAAAATTTAATCAATGTTCGAATCCGTTAATTTTTTAATATCCGTTTTCCTAAAATCTGATTCGACCCTATTTTAAAAAAAAAAAAAAAAAAAAACTCATGTACAAAAAAAAATGGGGAAAATCCAGTTTACCCCTTGTGGTTTGGTCGTTGTGCACATCACCTCCTTGTGATTCAAAAATCAGCACATAACCCCCTTGTGTTTTTGGACTACAATGTGTAGCTAGTACTGTTAACAGCAATGGCAAAAAGACCACATTGCCCTCCTTAAAATCTAAATAAACTTTGTTACCACATCTTCTCCAACCCTAATGCATCTTCACATACTATTCAACTCTCCACTGAATCATTGGTCATTGGTCATCACCACTAAATCACATCATGGTTGCAAAAAATTAGTTTTTATCTTTCTGTGATAAAAATTAAAAAATATAAAACATGCTTGATAATTATTTTATACTTAAAAAATTATAAAAACAAAAATAAAAACATGTTTGAGATTTTACCCAAAATCAACCACCCAACACCACTTAATCCCACCACCAGTAACCACCTAACCCCACCACAAACCCACTACTCAAACCCTTTGCAATCCACCCACCACCAACCACCCATATCGAAAACCCACCCCCACCAACAACAACCAAACACCACCAAAACCCCCACCCCCAATGCCACACTTGAAAAACCACCCAACACCCCCCTGAAAACCACCCAACACCACTTAATCCCACTACCAGCAACCATCTAACCCCACCACAAACCCACCCCCCAAACCCCTTGCAATCCACCCACCTCCACCAACAACAACCCAACACCACACAAACCCCTACCCCCAATGCCACACCTGAAAAACCACCCAACACCCCCCCTGAAAAATCACTCAACACCACTTAATCCCTCCACCAGCAACCACCTAACCCCCACCACAAATTCACCCCCCAAACTCCTTGCAATCCACCCACCACCAACCACCCATACCGAAAACCCACCCCCACCAACAACAACCCAACACCATGAAAACTGCTACCCCCAATGCCACACCTAAAACTCATCCCTAACCCCCTGAAACCCACCCAACACCCCTTAAAAACCCACCCCAAACCCCTTGCAATCCACCCACCACCAACCACCCATATCGAAAATTCACCCCCACCAACAACAACCCAACACCACCGAAACTCCCACCCCCAACGCCATACCTGAAACTCATCCCTAACCCCCTGAAACCCACCCAACACCCCCCCTGAAAATCCACCCCAAACCCCCAAAAATCGACTCCCAACAGTCCCAAAAACTCACTCTCAACAGGCCCTGAAACCCACCCCCAAACTCATTGAAAAACCCCCCACCATCCCCACCGAAAACCACAAGAACAATTACAAGAGAGAGAGAGGAGGAGGAGGAGGAGGCAAGAACTGGAAAGGCACAGAGACGGAAAAATGTAGAATGGAGATGAAAAATCTAATTTTTTTTTCCTAACAGTAAAATGTAGAAGAAAATAAAAAAATGTCTTCTTGAAAGATCACAAGGGTATATTTGAACTTTTAGATTGAGATTTGACTTTGACTTAAACTTTTTACATCCATACTTGCAAATCTAGCGCGTGTTCTACAATTTCTGTCACTTTTGACACAAATAGTAACGGTCGCACTTTAGTCCAAAAACACAAGGGGGCTATGTGTCGATTTTTGAATCACAAGGAAGTGATGTGCACAACGACCAAACCACAAGGGGTAAACTGAATTTTGCCCAAAAAAAATTAACAATAAAATTTTGGATAATGAACTAAAAAAAGGAGGAAAAAATGAAAAATTGAAGTAAAAGCAATTGGGAAACTCAAACAAGGAAAAAAAAAAGTGGTTCATACATCATAATATTCCCTTTATTTTTTCTTATTTTTTAGTATAAGGATAATATACGTGTGATATTTATTTACATAATTTATTTTTTATTCAGATCAGATTAAATAACGGATCGAATTATTATAAATCCATATCCGAATCTTTTTAAACAACTCTAATCAAATTCGGATCAGATTGGATTAATGGATTAAAAATTTGATCAATATTCACTTAAACTAGATGCGAATTCGAATCGAATTCAAATTGAAATCCAGTTCATCAACAAACTTATGGATATGTGAGGCCTAAAGTGATTAGTGTCATTGAGGGCTATTATTTTTTAGCAATAATTTAATATTTATTATTTTTACTTTTTAGAGATTCAAAATTAATTTATAATTTTTTTATCCAAATTTTTCTAAAATTGTGTTATTACATGACCATCTATCAATATAAATACATTCATAATTCATTATTATATTTCCATTGAATTACTTTACTATTTTTGTTTAATTTTTTTTTATAAATATTAAGTTGTTTTTTTATATAACAGTCACCTAATATTTTGTTATATTTTATTTATTGTGATAATAATTTTATTGAAATTTTTTTTATATATAATATAATTATCCACTCTCTTTGTCAAATAGGGAAAGTGAAAGAAGCTCATCCTAAGCTTTTGCAAATGGAGTTGCGGGGCTGTGTTCCTGATGTTATAAGTTACATCACTCTAATTAATGGTTATTGTCAAGCTGGGGAACTTCAAGTAGTGTTGAAGGTTATAGAAGAAATGCAAGTAAAAAGATTGAACACCCAAATGCATTTACTTTCAATAGCATATTCCTTCTTTTGTGTAAGAGTGGTAAAGTATTGGATGCTGAGAGGGTGTTAAGGGAGATGATCTGCCAGCGAATAGTTCCTGATAACGTAGTTTACACAACTCTCATTCATGGCTTTTATAAAGTTGGGAATTATGAGGCTGCATACATGCTGTTTGATGAAATGCGGAGTCAGGAAATAAGTCCTGATTTTATAACATTTACCACTCTTGTTTGTGGACTTTGTCAATCTAGAAACATTTCAGAAGTAGATAAGCTCTTCCAGGAAATGTTTAACAGAGGGTTGGAACCAGATGAAGTTACATATACCGCACTGATTGATGGTTATTGCAAAGCAGGTGAGATAAAAGTGGCTTTTTCTCTTCACAACGAGATGGTTTAGAGGGGGTTGAATCCAAATGTTGTCACTTACACTGCACTGGCTGATGGGCTTTGCAAACAGGGAGAGCTAGATACTGCAAACGAACTTTTTCATGAAATGTATCAAAAGGGTCTTCAGTTAAATATTTGTACTTACAATTCATTTGTTAATGGTCTTTGTAAAACAGGAAACATCGTGCATGCTGTAAAGCTAGTGGAAGATATGGAGATGGCAGGGATCCATCCTGATACTTATACTTACACTACTTTAATGGATGCTTATTGTAAATATGGAGAGATGGTCAAGGCACATGAGCTTCTCGGTGAGATGTTAGATAGAGAGCTTCAACCAACTGTTGTTACATTCAATGTTTTGTGTGTTAGGGATGCTAGAAAATGGAGAGAGACTCCTAAAATGGATGTTGGATAAGGGAATAATTCCTAATGCCACCACCTACAATTCTCTCATGAAGCAGTACTGCATCAGAAATAACATGCATGCAACAACTGATATTTACAAGGGGATGTGTGGTCAAGAAGTGTTGCCTAATGGCAACACCTATAATATACTAATAAAAGGGCATTGTAAAGCAAGGAATATGTAGTAGGCATGTTTTTGCATAAAGAAATGGTAGCGAAAGGATTTAATCTCACAGTTGATACTTGTAACGTGCTCATCAAGGTTTTTATTAAGAGGAAGAAGTATCTAGAGGCAAGGGATCTGTTCAAAGAGATGAGGAAAGAGGGCTTGGTTGCTGATAGAGAATTCTATTATACTTTCATTGATATGACCTTTGACGAAGGGAACACCGATATGACTCTTGAGCTTTGTGATGAAGCAATAGAGAAGTGTCTCGTGGATGAGACCAATAATGGGAACTAATGACTATAATTTTAATATGTGATGAGATATTTGCAGGCAGAAAGTTTTAGTTTTCTTTAATCAGAAGTTGAAATCCCCAGAGTAATGGACCTATCATCCTAATTCCTAAAACCAAGGTAACTTCTCCTTTTTCCTCTTTTTATACTCAATGGCCTCCATTTTTATTTTCTTAAAGTATTTATGCTCTACAACTGGTCATTATTTTTTTTTTTTTTTGGTCAGAAGTGGTCATTAGTTGATCAACAACTATTTATGATGATATATATTATACCAGTGAATGCCTTGTTGGGCGACTCTTTTTAAGTTACACTTTGTCCCACAATATGTTTGGTTCTCATACTGGTCTTTTGTGGTACATTTTTTTTCCTATATGGACAAGAAATCAACTTTGTTTGTGAAGTACATTATATAATTGTTCTTGGGTACATGACCATAGTGGAATCCCTCATTGAGTAAGAACAAAAACTTGGACAAAATGGAATATATTATGAAGGAATAACGGCCCATTAGAGGTCAAAGATGAAATGATGGTCCTAAAATGTATTCTAACTGGAAAACAACTATTAACTTCTAAGAGCAATGTATAGTTTATTGTATTACTCATATTATGATAAACTATATATTTCTTTTTAACATGTATCACAAAATTTGATGAGATAAATGGATGATTGAAGATAAGTGCAATGAAAATACACTAGTATTTGTTGCAACTTGTTCGAGTATTATACCCAGAAGCTCTTGAAGAGCAGTGAGAAATCAACATGGATTGTTAGAACTACATTCCTCGTGTTGTTTGAGGTACTCCTTTAACCAACAAGATGAATTGCAAGAAATGAATGAAGGAGCTGCAGATTTAGTATGCCATCTTGCTGGAAAGTTTCATTTGAAGGCTCAGAGAGCTCATCTGTTCAGGTTGAGAAATTTATTGATCTTCTTCTTTTATCCCCAGGGTTGTATCTTGCATTTCCATATGTCTGCATCTGATTCTTGTGTTTTGGATGAGTTGAACTAAGGACTATCTCATATTGAGATTGTTTACATGCACATATTATTTATTTAGTAGTTCAGTTCTTTTTTTGCATAATTTAGTAATATTCAATGGCTCAGTGATCTATTTATGCAGGTTATTTGACTGATATGGTCTTTTTCTTCCTTGTGATTTTGGATTAGTTAAGTAAAAAAGAGAAAATTGCACTCACCAAAGTATCTTTATTTCTGTGTCAGAGTTGCTTGAACTTGAAGAAAAATTAAAGACCATCAACTGAATGAATGTTTCCGTGATCCATACTGGGACTACAGTAAGTTAATTATGATGACTCTCCAATCTTATTCTTGCCTACAAATGTAAGCTTGCTGATTGTACGGACTGACAGTTTCTTCATCACTGGACATAATTGGGGAAAAGGGTTTAAGTTCATCACAACCAAGTTAGAAAAACTTATGTAAGACCTTGTATTAAAATTAAATAAGAATAATATTATCTTAATAGTTCCTCTAAGATTAAGAAGATGATGGTAGAAACCTTGAATCATTGTTAAAGAGTGATCATGAAATTTGAGTTCCGAATGAATTGACTTTAGGGTCAAACTTAGTTTCGAAAGTGTGTTAGCTTAAGAATGGTGATTAGATAAATTTTTAAATGCTTTCAGGTCAAAATAATGCCTCCATTGAATCCAGAAGGTCAAAAAACATTAGGAGAGATAATATGGGGTGTATTTGAAGTTAGGAAGTATTTTGAAGTTAAAACCTATTTTGAAGAGGATTTGGGTAGAAAGGAATTTGATACTACCTTAGTATTTTGGTCATAAATTTCTACTCCTAACTCTCATTGATCTGATTTTTGGACAGTAAAAATTATACTTCAAGAGCTAAAAAAGTGTATTTCACGAAAAAATTTCAAATCGACATCTAAATAGGCCAAAATTGCGTTGGAAGGTTTAGTAGACAAAGTGTACCGGAACTTCGAACTCCAAAAGCTACATAGTACCAGTACGCTCTGTAAAATTTAGTTCGACCCGATTTCAGATTTTGTCTCCGTTTCTCACCCTATAAATACATTAGGATGCCTTCTTTAACCCCATTTCACCACTTCCAACCCTAGGAAGCTTTAGAGAGAAAAAGAAAAAGAGAAAAACACAAAATCAAAAGGGAAAAATCAGAGATTTAAGGGTTGGTTGAAGATCAAAACCCTAGTTCTTCAAGAACACCAAGGTAGGGGTTTTCTTCCATTCTTCTCCATTGATGTTAGGGCTAATATATATGTATGTTTTGACTCCTAATCTTATGTATTTGCTATGGGTCCTTTGTTTCTTGGTCTTCTTGTAATTATTATCATGTTTTAAACAAATTTAGGGTTGAATACCCATGAAATCTTTTTTTCTTTATTTAAAATCCTAGTTTTCAAGAGTGATGGATTTTCCTTTTGATTCTTCCTTGGTTCTTGATTTCAAAACCTTAGTGCTTTGTGTTGAGTAATAAAATGATATTGATGATGATCTCTTGCATTTTCTTCAATGTTCTATTGAAATGATACATGTGAAAATTTAGGGATTGTTGAAATTACTTGTACTCTTGGAAATACCCATGGAATTAGAAGTTTTGAAAATTATTTGTTATTGATGGAATTGTTGGTATTGTATCTCTTGTGTGGTTGTTTGGATAAGCATGGGCTACGATTGACCGAATATCATGGAGTGGGTAGACGTCTTCTTATTCCGTGCGGGTTTGGACATATCCTACCACTTGTAGTGGGGTTCGTGCCTTACGAAAATCAAACCACTATTAACTCACGGGTGCCGTGTCAGAAGATTAGTATACTAATACCTGGGTTGGATTCGTCACTGCCATTGTGTTGACACACGTCCTTCCCAAAGGTTGGATATCTTTGCGAGGATTTGTGTTTGTGGATATGTGGGACATGATGTTTTCGATGGTGACCATGTTGGATCTTACTTCATACCTGAGATACGAATACAATGGGGTTATTGTTCATTGTAGCAAAAATGATTTCTACAAGAATCTTGGGAAGTATGAGATTCTGCAACAACTTGAGAAAAACGGTTTATGGTGGAATGAATTATTAGTCGTATATCGTAGTGGTGGATTATTGATCATTTTACCAGAAATGGTTTCTACAAGAATCTTGGGAAGTATGAGATTCTGCAAGAACTTGGGAGAAACAATTTATGGTGAAATGAGTTACTAGTTGTATATTGGTTCCACTTATGGATTAAGTTATTGTTGTTGCTCAAACTTGAGATTTGTTTAAATGTCTCTATTTTATTTCAAAATTCATGTATGCTATTTATGAAAGGTGATCGACCGTTTTTATATGCTTTTCTAAACTTTGTTCGAGTTTAGGAGGATTTTTCCTACAGAGCTTAGTGCTCACCCCCTACAAACAAACATTTCTCAGATTATATCCGAGAGGAGGATCTTGGAGGCGATGAGCAAGTATCTTAGGAGACTTCGACAAAAGGGAACATGAATTCTGAGGTGGACGCCTAGAGCAACTTTACCTTTTTATTCTAGACTGGATAATTCATTTTGAAACATTGTAAAGTCTAGCTTTCTTTTATTATTCCGCTGCACTATAACAGTTAAATTTTTGAGATGTAAGCGCCATAGTGTGCATATTCTTTTAGGAAAATATTGTAAATTTTATGAATGATAAATGAAATCTTTTTTATTTATGGATCATATTATTTGCTCTCATGATCTGAATGATTTCAAATTGTAATGCCTTTCAAGGTGATTTTTGGAGTGTTACAAAATTGGTATTAGAGTTTAGGTTTTAGGTCTTACATGAGAGTTGTAGGTTATGGATTACCCCTAGAGATGAGGATTAGGTGGAGTGAAATTAGTGTTTAAAATTTTGTATAAGTATTATGCTTAGGATTTAGGTGATAGTTAAGACGTCTTGTACGTTAAAGAAAACTAAGTGGTAAATTTAGGTGATAGTTATGTCGTTTGGACTATTCTAGGAGACGAATGATAATTTGTCTTTTGGTTTGTAAATAATGCTAGACCTCTATCCTTATGCCAGTCATATTATCTATATTGGAGATAGGATTTGTGACAAAGACACTCAAACTCGCGTTAGACAAGCATAGCAGAACCATCAGTCAAACAGACTACCTTTCACTAATTTGATCATAACTCCTTGTCAGAAAGTCCAAAAGGTGCACCGTCCTTTTTGTTAGAATCCTAACTCATATATCTTTTCAACCATGTAGGTCACAAATACTAGCAATACCAGAGTTAAATCAATTTATTCTTCAAATTTGGTCAAAAATCTGCGCCGTGATATTCCTTGGATACCAAAATATCGTGCTTTGCTTCTTAGACTCTGTTCCATCATTATTCAGGCTTTGATTTAAAGACACCCCCATATTGATTGAAGTATTTTGATGAATAACAATATAAAAAGGGATTATGACTTGGTGCCTTGCCGACTCTAAGTATTTGATTCTACTATTAAGCTTGCTTATATTTTTGGAAGTCAAGGAGACGTGATAACCCAATTTGGATATGTGGAGGTAAGGTCAACTTATATGTTTTTAAGATGAAAAAAATTTTTGAATGATAAAGTTATGAAAAGTTATTTGTGTTATTCAAAAGTTAAAGAAATTGAAGAGATATGGTGAAGTAACCTCGAATGGGAGTCTAGTTTTGGAATAATGATTGAAATTGTAGTTATAGGTCTTAAATGAATAGGAGGTTGTTTCATAACTATGTAATTGAGGTTTTCAATATTAGTTTGAAAATATTACGGAGTATTGATTGAATTTAGTTTGGAAGTATTAATGGATTAGAAGGGTCATAAGTTGAAAAATCGTTGAGGATGATACACTTAGGTGACCTTATTTTGTGGTGGGCTTTTAATTCACTACACTTAGACTCTTTAAAGTATTAGCAATTAAGAATCTCTTGATTGAGTGTGGAGTTAATAGTTGACTTGTATTTACAAATTGGATTGAAAAAAAAAAAAAAAGAGGTTG